ATGATCAAGAAACCAATCTATTTCACTCTTTCCCTTCAGGCTTTGCTCTTGCTAGTCCTGATGGGGTTAAGTATTTCCCATCTTTTTCTTTTCGTAATGCTCCTGCTGCTTCTATCATCTTTTCCCCTCCATAGCTGCTCTAATAATAGACTCACTATTGAGCAAACTGCTTCTCCTTGGCATTCAGGAAGCAGGCTCCATGCATATGGTCAATTGATTCGTTTTTAATGCACCTATTATTATGAATTGCCTTCTGGCTCAGACTGAAACCAAACTATGCCCAGTATCTCTTCTTTTCCATGCTTCCACTTTAGCCATCAGAAGGTGTCAACACTCAAATTCATTTCCCAGTAATATGGGTTCCCATCAATACCCTTCTTGATTATGGACAATGAAATCAAAGTCTTCTCTGCCTTTGGATGTTTTATTGTTGCTGTTACTGACACTACTAAAGAACCCAGGCTCCTTTTCACAATTGATCCTACTCGGCTATTAGAGCCAAGGTAGTGCAGCGTCATCAGAACTCTTAGAACTCTTAAGTTATCTTCACAAAGATGAATAAGGAAGAGTGAAGGAGGGAAAGACTATGCACTTGCCTTCTTGAGAATATGCCCAATGTACCATCCATTCTCAAGTACTTAGTAAGATGACTTGGACACAGGACACAGGGATGATATGAATGGCCCACTGAGTTCCATTTTAGCCAGAAAACTCTGTTGGAGAATAAGAAAAACTTAAGGCAAGGGGGTGTCTTTGACCTAAAGTAGAAAGCTTAAGCAACAGAATGGTCTCTCAGGGGCCATTTAGTCCAGGGAATCCTAAACATTCACCTGCATGCCCATGACAGTCTGACATTCTGTACCTATGGAACATGAGAAAGAGATGTTGCCAGCTGACTTCTTTTAAGACTTTCCTCATCAAAGACTATGTTCTTTGTACATTTCTATATTCTGATGTTAAAATACTATTTCATTAATGCCATGCTAGTGATAATATGTATTTCCATATGGCTTTGAAAGTTGACACTAAGCATATTTCTTATTTGTTTGCTTTTTTATTATTTTCAAACTTGTTATCTAATGAGAAAGTGGGAGGGAGTTGGGGAATCTGAGAGGAGTTGGAGGAGGGGAAACTGTTCAGAATATACTGTATGAAAAATCCAAATTTAAAAATGAATATTTTTTAAAGTTGGCATTATGTTGGGGGCCTTAGACATTAGAGAGAAACTTCACTAGTCTTTAAGATCCAAATTTTGAGGAACCATTGTTTTAGTTCTGTGGTTTCTGTACTTGTCAGTGCATCAGTATTACTAGAAGCCTTGATAAAAACCATATGTTTGTAAGCACCACTTCTAGATATTATGTTCAGAAGTTATTGACTGCAGGGGACCCAGAAATCAATATTTTACAAAACCCTCTAAGTGATTCTAATGTAGCTCTGAGTTAGGAAAACACCACTCTGTTTTTCCCTCTCTTAAAGGAATGAAAGGCGTAACTATTTGGAATGATTCCACTGTGGGCTTGAGTCTGTTAAGAACAGAAGGGAAACATGTTGTCTCACTTGGAATAACACTGAAAACCTTCACTTAGGCTTCTCCATGGCCCATAGTTAGACAAGTCAAATAAAGAGCTACAGGGGCTGTTGGCTACTTACTTGTGAGTCTGGGCAAAGCTGGTGCTTCTACAAATAGTAAATAGTCTTTAAAGATCTGTTACTCCTGATGATTGTTGACCAAGTCTGATTTAGAGATTTATAGGGAAAGCCACACACTTTCGATGCCTGTTTTCTATGCCTCTAATCAATCCAAGCCACTTTCTACCCTATCACCACAGTTTTCTCTTCCAACTGCAGCTATGATGTTACTGTTTGACTCAAAAATCTTCCTTGGCCTTCTTGGGTTAGCTTTCTATTATCTACGATGAAATATTCAAGGATCATAAACTCTTAAGGAAGGAAGGGTTGTTTCAGGCCAGAGTTTCAGAGATTTTAGGTCATAGTCATGTGATCCCACTGACTTGGGTTTGTGTCATTATAGTAGAACCTGGAGTAAGAACATGGCAAAAAAGATGCTTACTTCATAGCAGCCAGAAAGCAGAAAGACAGGGAGGAGCCACAGTCCCAATGTCCACCTCAAGGGTGACTTAACTTTCTATCATGAGGCATCATCCATTAAGGTTCCACTACCTCCCAATACTGCCTGCCAAAAGCTGGCAACAAGGCCTTTAGCACACTGGCTCTTAGAGGACACTTATTGAAATCATAGCACTTACATATCCCAAGTAAAGTCTATAGCTCTCTGCATGACATTTACTGATTCTGTGAAGTGGATAGAACTTTATATTGAGGATAAAGAAACAAATTGCTTAAGATTGCACAAGCTGGAATAGAATAACCATCATTATTAGAAACCAGGTCTCCACATATCATTGTTCTGGCCATTAAAAAATACCTGTACCTTCTAAAGAGGGGAGGACTGCTCTGCACCTCATGTATTGCTAGAATGATGGGTTACATAACCCTGTCTCCTGGGTGGGGCACATACTTTGAAATTCACACAAATGGGCAAAGATACCTGTTCTACCTCTTACTGGCTTTGTAAACTTAACTGACTTAACCTCTTGGGTCCTGTTTCCTCATTGCTGTGAATATTATATGAGATCATGTATGTAAACGGCCTAGCATGGTTCTAGGCTTACAGGATATTCTCAGTGAGTGCCACCACCTCCTCCACCCACTACATCCCATTCTAGTGATCTAAACAACCCATTAAAACTAAAAAGGAAATAGAATTTAGACACCGGGAATCAAGATGAGGTGCAGAACTCTAGGTTTTACTCAGTTCTGGGATTAGAAATAACTCTTTTCAGGGTCTCAGTCAGGTTCTTTCTAAGTGGATACCAAGTCTGGATATTCTGAGTGGTAAGCCATCCCTGGCTGTAAAGCAAACCTTAAGACACAGTACTCAGGATGTCTATGATTTCTCATTGCTCATGGCTGAAGCATTGTGAAGTTTTATTAAAATGCAAGTGTTCCCTGGGAGAAGCATCATCCATATTAATTTTTTGGCCTGATTAACCTTCACTTTCCCCTTTCTATGAGTAGAGTCTTACTGTGTCTCTGTACTATGAGGTCAGGGCATCTCTGAAGCAGGAAACCACCTCCTTGCCACTTGTTAAAAATCCCACTCAATATTCAGGGCCTATGTTGTACATAGCCTTCCCCCAGAACCCTGCTATAGCTTGGCTAAGTCATAGCCAACAACAAGTTCTAGATCCCTGTGTAGAACCATGGAGAACCCCTGGCTTTTCTGAGTGAAGACTTGCTATAAATTCTAACTTGTATTTGCCTTGCCCCATGACCTTAGGGCAATAAATGACTGACCCTAGTTTTGCTTCAGTTTGGAGGCCACAAGAAGCAGATGATAATATTTGCTACCCATCAATAGGGGACCTGCTTTACTCATTTGCATAATGCCTATTCTGCGGACTGGCATGACCCTGTAATCTGTGAATTTGCCTGATTCTTTTCATGGAACCACGAGCCACAGGACATCCCTATCCTGCCACCCAACTGTGCCCGTTCTCGGGTGCTTAGAGACTGTGTTCATTGGCATCAGATGAAGCCCAGGAGCCCTGAGCTGCATTTCCACCTGTCAGGCAGTTTTTAGCCTAACAGAAAGGTTAATCAAATGCGAGGTAAAAGGGGATCAGCGTTCACCTCTTGCAAGTTCAAATGCAGACCCTTAGGGAAGGCAGAGTTGCTTGGAATCACCAGATGAGTGAGAATTGAGCTGGGCACCACTGCTCACCAGCAAGACAGTGTCCCCCTTTCTCCTTTTCAGGACCCAGGCACTCCCTTGAGAACAAACCCTTCCTTTCTGAGGTAGGGCTAAGGTCTGAGTCTTGAACATTCAGTGGGACTCCAAGCTTTGTGCCTCAAGTGTGGGTGGAAGAGGGAGGTGGGTGGTGGGAAGATAGCCGTTTGCATTGGGGGCTCTTCAAAGCACAAAGCACTCGAAAAGCAGAGGTCCAGGCCCAAGGGACCAGCTTGACCAGGATGTCAAGAGCCGGAAAGCCCTTGACCAAACTAGCAGCTCGATGTGGACCCCATTTCTTGCTCATGAGTCTGAAACAGAGAGTCTAAAGGAACCTAAACTGAGCTCTGTGTCCTGCAGGGGGCCTGCGCCCAGCCCCCTCTGGTGCCACTGTACCTCCCTTCTTTCATGGCCGGGTCCCTGGCCCAGAGTCTGCCCTGGCTGAGCCTAGACCCGGCCCTCTGTGGCTCCTCAGGGCTCCAGGTTGGCGCAAACAAAGCCCTGATTGACTGCCCGGAGGGGCGGGCCTCACTGCGGGGCCGCCTCCTCCCCTCAGTCCCGCCAGGGATTTGCCGGGAAGCGCGGGGGTAGGGGGAGACTCTGAGGGGCTCGCAGGTCAGTGGGGGGGGGTCTGAGTTCCAGGCTTGAGAAGATTATGTCCACCCTCTGTCCGAAGCCCAGGCTGTACCCTCTAGGTCACCCGTCTCGAGTCCAAGTGGGAACACAAGGACTCCCGAGGACAGGGTGGGGTCTGTCACGGACTAGCTCTTGTCTTGGGGTTCCCAGGACCAGCGTAGTTGCAGGTTGCTTATAAGCAAGGAGGAAGTGAACTCGAGGAACAAGCAGGGTCTTCCTTGTAGGCTGGGGGGTTGACCAGTGTGGGTTCTGGGACTTGCGGGGAGAAGAGGGTAGGGTAACAGGATAGTTTCGGCTCTTTTTGCTAATTTAACTCTTCTTCTAGGCATCTGAACAAGAACAGGATTCAGTAATTTGGAAGGGGAGTTTGGGGGTGACAGCAGCGCCAAGACTAGGTAGGCGAGTAAGAGGAGGAGGAAGGGCTGGGGAGAAGAGCGAGGTTGTAGCGGCTGCCTGTTGAGGAAGAGGTGGGAGGGAGGAGGAGGGGGAGGAGAGAGAGATGACGTGGGGAGAGGAGGAGGGGGGTTGGACGGGGGAGGAGAAGGAGAGGGCTCGAGGGACCGTCTGTCGCGGGACGGGCTGGCCAGCTTGGGCGCTGGGAGGAGGAGGAGGAGGAGGCAGCGGCGGTGGCAGTGCTCGGAGCGGCAGCAGCAGCAGTAGCAGCAGAAACAAGTACCCGCCAGACAACAGCTCCTCCGGCTCCAGCAAGCCACAGTCAGTCCCCTGGCCGCGATGGCGCTGCCAAGCCCGGCGAGCGAGGAAGCTGAGGGGCCCTGTCAGGAGGCAAACCAGGAATATCAGGAGCCAGTGTGTAGTCCGGTGCCCGAGCCGGAGCCCGAGCCGGAGCCCGAGCCGGAGCCCGAGCCGGTGCCAGTGCCCCCGCCCGAGCCTCAGCCTGAGCCTGAGCCTCAGCCCCTACCCGACCCTGCACCCCTGCCAGAGCTGGGGTTTGAGGCTGAGCCAGTGCAAGAACCCGAGCCCACGCCCACAGTGGAGACCCGAGGCACCGCGCGTGGCTTCCAGCCTCCCGAAGGTGGCTTCGGCTGGATAGTGGTGTTTGCAGCCACCTGGTGCAACGGCTCCATCTTCGGCATCCATAACTCTGTTGGGATCCTCTACTCCATGCTACTAGAGGAGGAAAAAGAGAAAAATCGCCAGGTGGAGTTCCAAGCAGGTGAGTGGGACCCACGTGCCCCACCTGGTATTGTGGGCAAGGATGTCTGCTCCCACCGTCACCCCCATACCTCTTGGTCTAAGGTGTTCTTTCAAAGTGCCTTTCTCACTCCTTACCCATGTCCTGCTAGGGCATGGGTTGCAGGGTTCTGGGCAGCCTGGGCAGTGGAGACCTAGGCTCAAACAGTCCCAAGGGTGAGAACTGGGGCATTCATTGGTTACAGGCAAAGCAATGAACTTTTTGCCCTGAGACAAATCCAGACTCACCTTTTAGATTGTTTAAAGTACTTTGCCCATGTGTGCTGGGGAAAATATTTGCAGGCTCTAGGGGCAGGGGAGGGGAGCGATGTCGTGAAGACAGGAAAGAGTAGGAAGGCTGAAAGGCTCCAAGAGAAACACGGAACAACGGGTCTCCGCAGCAGCCCCTGTTTCTTCCGGGGATCAGAGCGGTTTTCTGTCAAAAACCACTTCAGGAATCCTGATGACTCTTCTCTCAGAGTCAAACACATGGTAGGCGTGTGTGTCTGTAAGAGAGAAAGGGAGGAGTGCGGGGTGGGGAGGGGGGGCGTGTGCGCGCGTCTCTGCCTGCTGTGGCTACGGCCCAGCCAGGCAGTGCGGGTCGGTCGCCTGCTGATCCTGGGGAGCAAGCGGCTCGCTGTGCACTGGAAGCCCTGTGCACTGGAAGCCGAGCCCCAAAGGAGGCAGGGAGGCGGCAAAAAGAGTGGGTCCCGCGGCTCACTCCGCGCCTCAGCTGCACAGTCTCGGGCGCCCTGCACCTCTGGTATCCGATGGGGGCCTCCTTCCGTCCGAAGTTAGAATGTTGGCCCTGCCACTCCAAGTTTGGCTTGTAAATGACTTGGTTATCCCTAAGGTTGGGCAGTGTTAGAGACATAACCCTCGCCTTACAGGCACGTGGCTGTGGGACCCTATGTGTCCCACATGTGTCCTAGCATGGAGACCCTCCAGCGACCTGGGGAAACAGACTCATTCGCTCTGCAAATGAAGCCCCTCAGTTCTGACGAGAGGTTTCTGGAGCTGGCTGGGGACTTGCCATACCCTTTCATGAAAATCTCTCCCTCTCTTTGGGCTGTCAGGACAGCTGGAAGTGTGCATACCACCTCCTCAAGTTCCCTACTTGGAAAAAGTGAAAACACACACACACACACACACACACACACACACACACACACACACAGTGTTCTGGAGCTGCGAGGGTCCTCTCTTGCCAACCTCCAAAAGAGGGGACTTTGGGATTATCAAGTGAAATAGAACCTTGAATTCTGGGATGACCACTTGTGGGTTACTTTGAGACCTGCCCCTCCCACAGCCTTCAGCCGAGGACGTGTGTTGTTTGGAGCTTTACCGGACTGTCTGGCCGAAGGGGCTTTGGGACTCCTGTGCCTCAGACCTTGTGATCCACTGGCACGGCCGCAGTGTACAGGCCCCACTTGAGGAAATCTCGAGTGTACCCAGCGGCTGTAAATGGCAGTCTCACAACAACCTAGATCATTCGATACCGGAGTGGAGGGCTCCCTGAACTCCGTGGGACAAGTCCTGGGTGGAAGACAGCGTCTACAGTCCCTGGGACCACTTTTTTCCTGCGTTGGTGCAGATCAGGGGCTCATGGGACAGCTGCCAAGCTAGGCCCTCAGGCTGTTGCCTAGGTTACTGGGGGAGTGGGCACCTGCTGAGAGCTGCCTTGTGGTTGAAGGCAGGGTAGTGGCTTTCAGGGTGAGTGGCAAAGTTCAGGCTTAAAGGGAAGCAGTGGAGGCTGAGCTCAAGTTAGGCCCGGCATTTATGTGATGTGAACAGGCCTAGATCTGGGGCCTTAGGCGCATGCAATGAAACTTGGAAAACCCACTATTTTACCAGGAAGAGGTTCTCTGCTGGGGAACAGACTTCAAAGTAGGTGATCATAGGAGACTCAGGGGGAGGGCTGGCAGGGACTTTCCGGTCAATACCTCACAGTGCAGCTGGAGGGGGCGGTGGTGCTGTGGTCTTCCCAGAGGTGTGGCTAGTGTGTATGCTAACACAGACTGGGTCCTCTGAGGAGCTGGGTTATTGGCTTAAACTATAGAAAGTATAGGTCAGGAAGAGACAGAAAGGAATTTGATACGTCCCAGGGGTCTGAGAAGACTTTGGCGTGGGTCCTTGCTGTAGTATATCGTGATTTCACTGAAGTTATTTTTGATATTGAGCCTCTCAGGAATGCCTTGGGTTTTATTTTGGAAGTCAGTAACACCCTATTACATTCTGTATTTTGCAGAAACATCCCATCCTCAACAGTACCTTTCTTGAGACCCTCAGCTCTCTGAAGCTGTTAATTGATTTGTCTTTTGGGACAGAGCCTTGCCATGCAGCCCTGGGTGGCCTAGAATTTGCTGGGTAGCCTATAAGTAGCCTCCCACTGGTGGGAGTCCTCCTGTCTCAAATTCCCAAGGCTAGGATTATAGGCACATACCAGCAGGCCTAGCCCGAGCCCCTATTAAACTCTTGAGATTCCAAATGTCTTTGCCTGCATACGCTCTCCTCGCTCTGTTCAAAATTCCCTGGCCGCCTATGCCACAGGCCCGGGGTACCCAACAGATGGAGAAAGCTTAGTGTTTTACAACTGTCTTCATCAGCAAGTATCTGCCCAGTAACCAGTCTGGGGGAGCACTTAAGGAAGTTGGTGCATTGTCCAGTTCTAGGAATGTGGTGATTTCCTATTTGGAGGTACTCTGCAACCCAAACTGGTCTTGGTTAGGACTGGCACTGACATACCGTGAAGCTGTGCTGAATGGCTTAACGGGTCCAAAGTTCTGCGGTGCCGAAAGTTCCAGAAAAAGGCAATTTTGATGTCTGAGAGACAATTCCAAACAGGGGCTCTCTGGCACAGGCCAAGGAACAGGTAGAAGGAAAGTGGAATCCAAGCTGTCCTAGAGCAGGTAATAAACAGTCTTGGTGGATTCTGTGGGTTTGAGGTTCTGGTGTGCCGCCAGCTCTATATTTTGTTTCCTTTCTTCAGTTCATTTAAGGGAAGCCAATTCTCCCTAGGACCTACAGAGGACTGGCAGGCAAAAGGTTCCTGGGAGCGGAAACAAATAACCAAGGTCTGGTTTAGGGGGTAAAAAGGGAAAAGATCAAGAGAGAAAAGGAGCATAGGCTTTTGTAGAAATAATGGAAGCTAGGCATTTCTCTGGCCCAGAAAATGCACCAGACAGGACAGGAGGCAGCCAGATAGTTTTGTGGGATATATAGAGCAAGCATGGCTTCCTGAGACATCAGCTGAGTATTATGATGGGAAAGAAGAAAAAGAGAGCATTGGTGGCTACCCCCAGCTCACCCTTGAAATCCTAGGTAGAGGCAAGTTTGGGGTTTAAGCTCAACAGATAAGACAGAATTAGCCAGAGGTGCTAACATTGCATCCAAACTAAAGTCTATGTTAAAGTGCTTCAGAGTAGCCCTTGATCTTTCAACCTTGACTTCCAGTCTACCACCGAGTCATACGTAATGAGAAGCACTTTTACCTGGGAGTTTATAAGCACAGTCCTTGGGAATTTCTGAGGAAGGCAGGACTAGGGCTCTCACTACTAAAGAAACTGGGCAATGGTAAAGAAGGTTCACTACTGGTACAAGAAGGTTTGGGTTGATGGGCCACCCTGGTGGAGATAGAACTTTCTAGGCATGAGAAAGACTAGTCTACTATGGAAACTAGGGATTTCTCCTGCCCTGAAAATGCATCAGCTAGGACAGTGATTCCAAATGTCCCGAATGAGTGGGGGCAGAGGCAGAGCAGAAGCAGAGCTGTCGTTCTCTTCATTGTAGGGTTTTGAACTTCTTGCCTCACTGTCTCACTGGGTTTCCTGATTCATTGGTAACCTTGAGATTAAGGTATCTTTTGAGTAAATCTGTCAATCTCCCTGGTTTTGGCTGAAGGCTTTTGCCTACTGTCCAGCAGAGCAAGATCATGTTAGCTCAGTGATGACCATGGTGCTTCAGGCCATAGGCCATTGATTAGGCATCTTTCAAATCATTCCTCTTCCTCCTCTCCAACCAAAGTGGGTCCCAATCTGTGACCTTGATTCATGCTGTAAAGAATGAGGATGAGAGGCTGGGGCACTGGAAAGCTAAACAAGAAAATGCTTGGTGGAGCTGATCGCGGGGTGAGTCTGGTGCCTAGGGTTACTGTCCAGTGGCCCCAAGTGATCATTCTAAATGACATCTCCTTCTCCACAACTCCTCCTTCTAGTGGTGTTGGGAAATGAAACTCATTCTAAATCTAAAAAGAGCAAGAGCTTGGGCCAAATCTGAACCCCCTCAAAGCTGATGGTCTTAATGCTAGCAGTGAGGCAATAACTAGGAGTTGCACAACTTGTGTGCCCAACCTGCTCTGTAACTTGGTTGTCTATAATATGAGAAAGGTTAACTCTGTGAACTTTCTAACCCCAACCTTATATCCCTCTAGAACTGTGGGATAGTTTATTCTTTTACTATTCACCTAGCATCAGTTTTGACACATTCAGGCAAACAAAAATTTGTTAAGCTTCCTGAAGGGGCAGTTAAGCAGGAAAGCAAAGAAAACCACATAGACATCATTCTCCTATTTTATCTGTTTTTAAAAACTGTTGGGCTATTTGGGAACCGGTAAAAAGACTCATTCCTTTTTTGTTCAGTATGCAAGAGCTACTCTGAGCATACACATATTTTTCCCACAATGTCCTTCTCAGCAGAGAATTGAGTTTCCAAAAGAACTCTCTCAATTTGGCCTGCTGTTAGCAGGGTAGGTCTCTATGATGCTCTTTCCAAGTACTTTACTCTGTTCCTCAAAAGCATTGAATTGAAAACACTCCCTCGGGCCTCAGCTTGGACCCCTCTTTTTATTAAAAACAATAGATTTATTTTTATTATTTTATGTGTATGAGTGTTTTGCCTGCATGTATGTCTGTGCATCACATATGTGCCTGATGCCCTGGTGCCCAAGGAGGTATTCAGCCTCTATGTGGGTGCTGGAAATAGAAC